TTTCAATTTGTAGACGACCTACCCTCCTACTGTTCAATTTTTAGTTGCTAATACCGCCGATGCGGTCATCTTCCTGGTCATAAAATCCTGAGCCCCAACCTCCCAAAAAATTTCAAATTCATCAGATTGACCCTGTCTCAAAATATTTCTAGATCCGCCCCTGCCCGTAATTTAAAGGTAATTATAACTTCATTCTAATATAGTTGTTGAAAGGAGCTAGCTAATTATGAGCTGAGCCATTTTATAGCCCCCATTCCATTGTAATATATTCAGGTACCTGCATATCAGGTAAACAAATACCTTGTGTATGTATAGATGAAGACAATGGATATGACGTCAAGTAGGGCTACTTTAATGTTTCACCCTCCCAAACATCTTTGCTGGCAACGTATAAAGAATAATAATTATTTGGTGTAATGTTGATGAGTCCGTCCATCAATTTTTTGTCACTAGGTTTCAAGAATACAATGATTGTGATGATGTGGATTTATCCTGAGATTTTCGACATTAAAGATAGCTAAAAGAGATTTTTAATTCACCGTCTATCTGTCTGCCTGTATAGCGCCTGTCTGCCTAGCAATCCTAGAAACTTGAAAAGTAGTAGTAAGTGATGGATCTAAGTCAAAACGATATACCTATGAATTACTATGGAAAGTAGGAAAAAGCTATGTCTTGAGAATCGATCTAGTGGGATTGGGGTACCAAATACCAAATAGGTGACTCCTCGGACTGCGTTCAAATGCCGTGCGTTTTAAAGAAAGAGAAGATCGTCCTTGACTTGTGGCTTCTCTAAAAGCCGGAAAAGCTACTCAGATATGTAGTTTGTGACAATCGGCCACTGAAATAATAATAATAGTAATAATCATATTATCCCTTCTCTGATATAAGCTAAGTCATATACGTAATGGTGCACAATTTTGAAATCCAGCCATCAAGTGGGTTTTGGCTCGGTCCCTTCCATAAACAGTGACATAATGTCTCACTTCTGTAGAATTATTTAGATCATTGATATAGCCCAGAATGATAGTCAGCGTCGATTGAGTATATGACACCAGAGAAGAAGAAAAATATTTTAGTACTTTTGGTCTCCTTCAAGTTAGTTTGCAATATTGGTGCATGATATAGCATGAAGGTATCAGATTATTTAAGGTAAATGTGTGTATATGAAAACGCCATCTCATAATTTTATTAGTAAAAATAACCATACGACATGATAAAAAAATATCAGATAATGGTAAATTTTCAAGGTCGACGGGGAGGCCAAGACAAGGCTTTATTTCAAGCATTAGTAAGGATCTTCGAAGCTCGCTGCTCTTATTAGCCACTTCTACCCGTTACAAAAGTAGATATATCTCTGTTATTTTAAATTGTAAAATTTCTTATACTCGTATAATAAAAGCTTGGCGTCATTGTTTCCGCAGCTTAACCAACGATTGATTGAGGTATCGCGCAACGGGCCGAATGTCAAAATCCGGCCCCCGGACCCCGGAAAATATTCTCCTTGCCGAATATCGAGAGCAAAAAAATCATTGCGTAGTTCGGGAAAAGCTTGGACTGACGACCGACTAGACCGGGTTCAAGGTTTTCCACAGACGAACGCACATCAATCTAATATTTCCTTCTCTGTTCCTCTTCCAGTTTGATTCGGCAAAATGGGCCGGACTACGCCGCTGGTCGCGAGGACGTCTGCGCGCGCTTGGAGTGCGGTGTTGCCATACTTAGATTTTTTCTCAAAATCAAGAAACTCAATCGCCGAAAGTTGTAGAAAAGCTGTGTTTATAAATAAAGCCTTACCTTTTGCTTTAAAAAAACAAAACAATTCCTAGAAGGTATAGATAAAAAGTGAAGGGAAAGGTTTTGTTTCAAAGGGTTTGCTTTGAAGTAAAAGGTTTCAGTTTCTTGGTATTTATAAAAAAAGATTTTGCTCAGAAACATTTGCTTCTGAAAAAAGGAATCTATATTCATAACAAATTTTCTCACTTTTCGGTAGTAACGCAAAATTTATATATGTTTATAATGTACCTACTAAAATCTGTCTAGAAGGGCTTGTGTAAAGTGAACTTGGTGGGATTATTCAATTTTTGTGTTTATTATGACTAGTACCGTTTACCATTTACGTACAAGAAAATACTGCAAACCAAGACATACCTATAAAATGTAAACCAACCCAATTTGGAGACGAATATGTAAATCGGAAAGGTCTTTGCCACATTTAATATTCAGGTCGCTTTATGACTAGGTAACTATGCTCCTTAGTGGGTATTGAATTATGCTATGTCTAAAGACTCTTACCGCAACCCTGTGACGATATCCAGGTACTTTTTAGTTTATTTATTTGAAGCATTTCTTTACAAGGAACATGTGGAGATTATGAATAAGAAATCTTTCACTTAGACCTTTTGCTTATACCTTTTACTTGAAACCAAATGCTTAGTTTTTATAAATACTATTATGTGGCAATTTTTGATTGAGGAAAAACTGTTTTTTCAATTTGCTTTTTACAGAAAAGAGAAAAGATTGCTATCATGAACATTTTCGAACCTGAGATAGTAAATTTTTGCGTGGAAGTTATATTTCATTTATTTCCATTGATTTTTCTGTCGGTCTGGTGAACAGTAGCTTATTTGTCCCCTGCAATCTTATCAACTGCTGCAACCGTTTTGATGTAATTTGGGAAGCGAATACTTGAGAAGCTCTAGAAGCGGCAAGCCTGGTCGAGCCGTGATTTAATCTTTAAGTACTGTCCTATCTCCGGAAATTTTTTTCTTGACCGCAGATTTATCAAACACTCATAGCTCAAAAAATCAGAACTTGGTTCATTATATTTTTCACAGGTTCATTTTTCTGAGAACCAAAGGTCTTCACATTAAGAAACATTCTATAAATCCAAACTTGGTTTTCGAACCTTACCGAAGGTCCCAATTATTTTTGGGCTTATTAAAAAATGTGGCGGAAAATTTATGAACTCCTTTGGATGTGAATTTTCCATTTGTTCAACCTCCAGAAATTCTAAATATAAATATGTATTGCAAATTGATGTATTATTAATGCATGATTGTAGTGCCAAGACAATTTATCTGTAACTCCTTGTTTTATCAGAAAAAAGTTTTTAACGAACCATTACCAACTATTACTTGGATTTAGCTTCCAGTTTCCATAAAATTGATATCATGAACTTCAATACTTGAAAAGATTTTTTCGTAGGTAAGCATGATACGTGATTGTCAAATAAACCGAAGAGGTCAAAAATCACTTTACTCTAAGGCGATGATTTGAAAAATATGAGTTTCCGCTAAACTATAACCACCTCTTCTTTACAGTCGCTCAACGTATTATTATTTATCGGTACCACTGGGCCAGTGGCATATTTTCGTAGGGTGAGAGGTCAACCCCAGCTTTACTGGTAACGTTGTAGCGTTCATTTGTTATTCGTCGTAACCCAGATAGGTAGGTATAGGTATTCTTGAGGAACGAAGGAATCATTTTTTGCATCAATCGCCCCAAATGCAACTCTGCCATTCTATGATAACGATAACGAAAACGTGCATCTATTTACATTGGTGCAAAAATATTTGGTTATTGTTATTGTTTACTGTTTGCCGGCCCCATACATTCGATGTTTCGATACGAAATAGGCCAGGAAAATTTGAAATTTTTCTGATGAGTGATTCCAGTAGTGTCTATAATAATATTCCTGAAATAATGTGAATTGAACTGTTAAATAAACCAGTGTGCGTCCGACCTCACTTTATTTGTGCAGTTTTTGGTAAATAAATTTAATTAATAATTATATAGAACGTCCGATAGTTACAACCTTTTGGATTCACGTAGAGTAAAAAAATAATGTAAAATTACAAGTCACAAATGATACTGTGTCTGTAATGATCTTTGAGAAACGATTGGTGTTTAAGACCGCGGGAAGGAGTCTTTATAAAAATATTTAAGTGTTTCGTTTGAAGAGTCCGGGCTGGCACTAAAAGATATTGATGCTATATATATATATATATATATATATATTGCTATTATGTGAAAAAATCTATTATAACAATAACGTTCAAAAGTTATTAAAGAAAAACCAATTGCTAAGAGCATCCACACGTTTGTTCGACATCGTAATCGATAAAACATGCAGACACTGTTCACAGAATTTATTTTTTCCATATGTGGATAATTAACTATAACAATATATCAAGCAAAAGTATATTCTTCAGTGTCATTTTACACAACAGGGCGATGAAAACTAGGAACGGCGTACTGATGATTTTAGGTAGACTGAGTTGTGATATTCTAAATCCATATTATCATATTGGACAAATTAGCATTAACCATTTTACAACTGTCGACTTCCAATGGCTCAACGGATTTTCCAGTATCATAGTTAAAACGCTCCGACGGTTTTGAGTTCTTTTTGAAACAAACAAAATATAATTTTAGTTTTTCTTTTTGGATGCTACAACAACGATAACTCTTCGTACATACCTGCCTACATTTGATATACATGTTAAACTTATAACACCTATCTTTGGTGGTCGGAGCTTAAAAATCGCAGAAATATACAAAGGTCGTTCAAAAATCGATACCCAAAAAATCATTTTTCATCAGAGTTCCTTGGAGGACCATTTCTTTAAGTTTTCAAAAGCATTTAGTCTCATTGTTATATTCCACACGAATTTGCGCGATTGTTTAGGCATAATTTGGGCTCCAGAGCTGGACATATTGCTGGATGAAGACTGATTTTCAGTATCATATTTATTACAAATATGTTCGAGACACATGTTCAACGTTACACCTCAGATCAACTAAACCTCTCTTAACAAAATAAATGATTTTGATATGGACAATAATGATAAATTTGTTTATCGCCTATCACCTGGACTAAAGAAGCTACGCACAGAGATACGCAGATACTGTTTCCGCCTTATCACCCAATACGTAAGACTGGCAACAGCGCGCCCATTGACGTAACCGGTGGCTGTGGTAACCGCGACAGGCGGAGCATGGTGAACGAACAGTTGAAGATCATCATCTGTATTGTAGATAACTGTGTTCCCGGCAACCGCATAGACTACGTGATCCGGCATTCGAAGGACCAAAAGCAAATCTTTCTCGAGTAAAATCGTAAACTGTCGGGCGCAAATCACACCACAATAAACGGACTATCTACTGTGATGTGCCTGATTCAAAGCTGCTGTGATAAGTTCTAACATTTGTGATATTAGGTAAGTGCGTTTCTAACCTACGATGCCATATTTAGATGCCGATAGTACGCACATTGCGGTTTCCACGGGGCAACAGGTATATAGCTTTGTAGAACGCTGCAACAAGTTTCTTATGCCGATGTGTGAATCTTTTTTGCCGATTCGTAACTTCCAACTTGATTATTGACGAAACGTTATGTTATTCATACGACCATTCTGGCTTACATGGTGTGTACACATAAACATAAACAACTGCGCTCGTAAATAAATTTGCCTGATCTTAATCCTGGCATAGAGTAGCCTTGAAAACAGTTACCTAAATCCATACCGATTTTTCAAGCAGGTAAAACTAGACGACAGCGTGTTAGCGACGGTTACTTGAGTGACTTATTTGCCCATAATCGGGACTGTCTCGCCAAAGCCAAAATATATGGACAGTTCAAGCGCCACTAAAATTACATATTACATATCATTCATAATCTTATGAATTATATTATTATAGATGAGACCTGAGACCACTTTACACTTGGGTAGAACTTGATAATTAGATGAATAATCGTATTTTGCTTTAAACATTTTTCTATATGCACGAATGAATGTAAATAACAAATAATTAACGCTAACTTGGCTTCCATACAATTTCTATTTAATTCTTCAAAACAAGGAATATCCCTGGAAATATCAAAACTTAATGAGTTGATAACTCCTCATTGATGCAGTTTTTATTATCTTCTCTGCCTATGATTTATTTTAATAGATTAAACAATCAGTGGTGGTACCGAACTATTGACACGCGATGCCATTCTTACACGTTGCATGTTAACCATTTGTAAATGAAATGGCCTTAATTTCACTTTCCAACCAGACTCATTCGAAATATGGATTGCTACGAAATCCAACGACCTCAAGTGTCGTCAATTATCATAGAAAATGTACATCTGTGTAAATGACAACACTGGATTGGTGCTGCCTACCAGCGGTGTATGCTTTCATGAATCAGGGCCGAGGGGTCGACTGACACCTCGAGTCTCACCGACAGGCACATCGATAAATGCTTAGTGCTTTGCCTCTGTTTAGACAATGTTGCCATTTACACTTCCTATGATGTTTGAGTTGTGTATTATTAGTGGTCATATATTGTTTACGAATCTTCGCCATGAGAACAAAAGTATCGGCCCAATACTGAAATGACACAAAAAATGTTGGAGCGAGACATGGTCAAGAATACACGACTGTTTACTACTATTGTGGACCTGACTTTATATTATTTTTTTAGCATTACGGGGCACGAGGCTTATCATGTCGAGCTTAGACTCGCGGAAGCTCTGCCATCACGTATAGCAGTTGCCAAAATGAGTCGAAAAACATTTGAATTTAAATCACTACGTTTGAACATCTGAAAGCACGCATTTTCGAAAACCCTTCGTGTATGACAGAACACATAACGGATAAGATATTAAAATTAAAAAACTATTAATATTATCAGATATAAATTCAAATCACAAGCACGTCGTTACGCAGTTACGTAAAGATATCGTCCATATGTTTTACTGTTTTAGACGTTTACAATGACCTCATCATATTCAACTTTCGGAAGTGGTAAACCTCGCCATTCCCTTCAAAATCACCAGAATGGTGAATTATATGGTTAAGAGTATATGGGAGACATGTAACGAGACGGAAGCTTATGATGGTACCACCTCCAAAGAAAAAATGAAATACGTATATAATGCCAAAACACGACTAAATTCCAACTTGTTGACGAGGTAGCTGCTAGGGCTGCTAGTATACAAACAGTTAACTTCGGGTCTGCTACAAGTGAGCATGAAGTTAATGACAGCTGGTTCCAAGTTGACATCTTGTAGGAAACCCTACATAATGTCATAAAAGACCAACATAATGTCAACAAAAACCGACATAATGTCACTTTTCCTGCCTGGCTATTACACTGTCTTGACTTTGACGAAATGCTCCCCCCGGTGCTCCCCTTTGGATGATCACATTTTGACATGTACATCGCTCGCATTTTTGTGATATACTTTTCTACTACAATTTTCACTCATTCACAGCAACATCACGAGCATAGCCCTTTACCTCACACCCCTCCGGAGCACAGCATCAGTCCCAGCATACACTTTCTGCATATTTCGTCCATATACGTATACATTTCTGTGGGGCAAAGGATTGTAACAGCCCTGGATCCGTAAGATCCCGAGCTTCTTGCAGAATCTGTTTTGGATCTATGCTATTCAAACTTCATCCACCAATGCTTGATTATAAGCAACCCATAAAATGAGCTAGGATATACTCGATTGCTTTCATAGTAGATCCATCCTGAGTTGGGAAGTGCACAGACGAAGCGCGGTAAGACAGTAGATACCAGAGAAAAATGGTAATAACTAACTGATGTAGAACTCGCTGTCTTTATGGCGCATTTGATTTCCCCAAGGACCTCACTGACCACACTGATTGTGCCCAGTTATATGAAGGGCTTGAGGACGTATATCGTTATATATGTATATCGGACGTTATATCTTGAAAAATAGGGTCTTTAGTTCGCAGTTCCAATTGATACATTTACGTATGTATTCGACCCACGACTTCTTTAATTCGATCATCAAAAAGAATACTTTTTGTCAGAGTTGGATATCCAATAGGTATTTGCATCTAGTGAAGGTAGTACAGACACGGTCAAGTGGGAGCAGTAAGTTGTCATCTCCTATAAGTTATTGGTTTCTTCTACAATTAATTGGAGAACTAACAGTGTTATCGTGACCGTCTATTGTTATGTGCTTTGCTCCGCTGCCGCTGAACCTATTTTCAAAAATGACAAATTTTTCATTCTTGCTGTAGTGATTACGCATTACCATAATTTCATTTGAATGAAAGTAGTGCTTTCTGACTGACAAAAACCAAAGATTGCCACATTGACATGCAGTTGATCGTACAGACAGACAAAAGAAAACGGACAAGACCTTTAAATAACGTAACATCTTCAGTTTGAAACTTTCTATCTATTGATGAGACTTTCATGAGATGTAATTTATCTTTTTGTGCTGAAGAAGAGCACCTTTGTACTTGAAACGTTTAAAGTAAATAAGGTTCCGTCAATTCACGTGATTTTATTGGCCAGACGAGCATGGGGGATAATTCCTGAGATGTCTTTTGAAAAACCGGATACTTTTCAGGCAGATTAATTTTGGATTTACAGAATATAAACCCCAGATTGGGGCAGTAAGCTAAATGGATTGTAAATATTTTTGTTGTCCTCACCCTTAATAAGGTTACATGGTAAGTAGCAGAACAGGAGAACATTCTTGTCCTAATACGTACACGAAAAATGTACTGAATATCAAGAGATCACTCGTTTTAGCTCAGCGAAGGAAATGTATTGAGGGGTAGTGATCGAGGTTATGGAGGAAAAGCCGGCCTTTATTATATTATCAGATTATATCAACGATTGTAGTTAAGTCCTTTGGCACAGCAAATAACGTTTCTGCGCTCTGCCACCATATTACCATAAATTCTACTATTGGATAAAACCTATAAGTTGCTTAAAGTACTTGAGAATATATTTAATAAGTCGTTTATTAGATGTTCTTTTTCTTCGAATTGTTTACAATCTCTTGCAGCCCACCCTGGAAAATAAGCCCGATATGAGCAACAACCAATATTTGTTGTCTAATCCACTTTTCCATTGCGGCGATGTCCGTATCTAAATTATGTTTTAGGTTCCAGCTTGAATGATGGTAAAGATAAGTGAGATATAGCAGTTCAAATTATTTTGGTCATATATTTTACTGTTCGCATACAATTGTCAACATGAGTTCAGAAGTTAAACCTACTTACTACGTTAGGAGTATTTGAAGCGTTCAAAATCTATCAACTATCAGGCTAGTTTTGTTTTTCATGTAACGTGTTAAGGATACGCTGGCAAGGTGCACATTAATACCGACATTTGTAAGTTATTGCTTTCCTTGATATTCATCATTATCTACTAACATGTTCGTGTTTGCAGTATCTTTGGAAGCACGGGCACCTACTTCCAGTGGATAGCCTATTTGGTAAACGATGGTGACGGTAGGTAATCAATAGCGATTACACAATAGGTACCTTAAAGCTAAGGAAAAGTGGAGGGAAATATTTTCATTTACATTTTTTTAAGTATCAAGCTATCTTACAAGCCCAAGTAGATACAAGCTTTACCATAAGTAATTCAACTTTCCTGTAGATGAATAAATTCAGATACATCTCAATAAAAATGAAGAAATGGTGTCAAGTAGGTTGACGCAGCACTTCTAACGCAAAGCTGTCATCAGTCGATAACGGATTATGTTTGGCACAAGTTATCCCTTCTGAGAAAAAAGTTAGCTACGAACATGTATAACAAAGAAATTAAATGGATCAAATCAATCAAACAGTCCCATTATCCATAGATATGTTTTACCGGGCAGATTGCTATGACTCATCTCGTCATCTCTCAAACCTTGCCGCTCAGCGCAACCACTCCCAGGCGCAGCAGTACGGCACTAATGGCACGTGAGTTATTGGTGAGACCGCAACGCAGCTTCTAACCTAGGTAACCTTAGGGGCTTTTTAGAAATACAGTGAAAGCTCCCATAAGCGGACACTCACGGTTCCGTAACTTTTGTCCGCTTATGGGAGGTGTCCGTTTAAAAGAGAGTATGTAAGTATAGAGTATAAATAACGGGGTATATAATCATGAGGAAATGAGGTATTATAATCATGAGAAAAATGAAACAGAAACTCGCCACATTTTTAAAGTATGTATTTATGCTATATATCTATATAATATATGTACATATACGCATACAAAAACATAAATGCTTCAATACATGGTACGAGAATTTAAAAAAAACATTATTCTTTAGCTTGTTGAAAAAATTTTAAAATGTTTGTCTGACGAAATTTCACCATCTTTTGCTGAAGGAGACAATTTTCGTAATAACTTTCTAAATTTTTCAAATGTTGAAATGCATTGAAATCATCTTTAGCAAATT